TCACTATGTGTATAAACTTACTATATCATGTGAGTAGATGGGTAGTCAGATTGCAATCGACACACCAACAAAACAATCCTCACCGTCTCAAATTTACTCTGCTATACATGCTAATTCGAGTCGTCATTCATGTCGAATTGATGAAGGATCTGGTAGCCCACCCACTTGAGGTAGACGCTTCGTACGTGATAACACTTTCTCTCCTCCCAAAGATTTCCCTCAAACATGACGCCGTTACCAAACAAACCAATTAGTTGCGCATGAACCCCACAAATGTCCCGTGCCAACTCCTCCCAATCTCTCCTTTCCGCCGGCTCGAGAGCAAGCCAAAATGCAGCGACGATGGTTGGGATATCGAGGTCGGTGGATGAAGGGGTTAAGAAGAGATGGTACAGAAATGTGGTTCTGTAGTGGTCCATGAGTGCTCCCATTTCGTGCTCTTGGATGAATTGGAAGACAGCGCGGCCGTGCATCGAAGGAGTGGTGGTAGCAAGGATCTCAATGAGAGGAGAGAGGGCGTTATTGTTAGAAATGAAGTTCGAGGTTGTAAGATTGGCATTTGGAATCTGGTGCTGCAGTACCTGGCTGACAAGACGAGGGTTGCCGCGGGGCTGAGGCGTGCAGGCGCCAACAAAAAGGTCAGCAAGTCTCCTCTACTTGTCAAAGAGGGAACAATGTAGTACGTACCGTCAGAACTGGGATGAATGTTCTGAGTGTGGTGGGCCCTCCTAACGAAGTCATCGAGTGGACCTTCTCCGTCGCGGTCTGGTAGAGTCGTCGATATGTACGAGAGAGGTGATGGAAAGATCGATGACTCAAAGCGGACTTCATGTGCGAGCTTATATCTCTCCATGACGGGTTCACAATAGATTGATATTCGGCCCCATCTACTCACATGATATAGTAAGTTTATACACATAGTGACTTACCAAAGCTCTGTCTTTAACTAATAATCCTTGGTCTAACTCATCCCTAAACACACTATGCTGCACCTCGATCTTTGCATTCTTGCCTGGAGGGTAGACTCGATGTTGAGATACTTTTGTTCTTATAACACACTTTCGATATTATTGAAACCTTTCG